TGAGATATTTATGGATGAGTTCAGAGACAACAAGAGCATGGACTTGGGTACATTTGGAAGAAAAGTTCAGCAAAAGTTCAAGCTTAATCCAGTGAGAATGAAGCTTGGCAGGGCCAGGAGTGCTGCACTTAAGATCATACATGGTGATGAGAAAGCACAATACAGCCTGTTGTGGGACTATGGACAAGAACTGAGGAGAAGTAATCCAGGGAGCAAATTCATTGTTTGCACAACCAAAGTGAAGGAAATAGGTGATCTGCTTCCAAAAGATCACCTATCTTCACTATATTGGTCCTATGATGCCTGCAAGAGAGGTTTCCTGAGGGGGTGCAGGCCAATTCTATTTGTTGATGGCTGTCACCTGAAGAGCAAATACAAGGGTGTGTTGCTTACAGCTGTTGGGATTGATCCCAATGATTGCATATTTCCAATTGCAATGGGGATGGTGGAGGTGGAGTCAACTTACTCTTGGGAATGGTTTCTCACCACTTTGAAGAATGATTTAAACATCATTAACACCTCCCCTTTCACTATAATGAGTGACAAGCAAAAGGTGTGTTCCATTTGTCCAAACATGCTGCTGTTGCATATTTCCATATGGTGCTGTTGTCTTACATGTTTATGAACTAATTTTGCAGGGTTTGATCAATGCTGTTGAGAAGATATGGCCAGATGCAGAACACAGATTCTGTGTTAGACATCTTTATCGAAACTTCCACCAGAAGTTCAAAGGAGAAACACTGAAGAATATGTTGTGGGCCATTGCTAGGTCAGCTAATGTGGACAAGTGGACCTTGAACAGAGAGAAGCTTAGGGCACAGAACTTGGAGGCATATAATTGGTTGGATGGCAAGCCCCCCAACCAGTGGGTGAAAGCATACTTCAGAGATTTCCCCAAGTGTGACATTTTGCTGAACAACATGTCAGAGGTGTACAACAGGTAAACTTTAGTTAGTTCACTTTTCTAGCAAACAAGTTATGTTATGTTTAACACATAAAACTTCAGTTAGTTCTGACAAAACTTTACTATATATCTCTTGCAGCTACATCTTGGATGCAAGAGAATTGTGTGTTATATCAATGCTAGAATGCATAACACATAAAATTACTGTGAGGCATGACAAAAAGTACAAAGAAGCTTCAGAAAAGTGGACTGGACTTATCTGCCCCAAGATTAGGAAGAAACTGGACAAAAATGCAGAGTACTCAGGTAACTGCTTTCCAACACATTCAGGACTTGGAATTTATGGTGTTGAATCAGGCAACAACAAGTATGTTGTGGATATTCCAGCAAGAACTTGTGATTGCAAAAAAATTCAATTGGATGGCATCCCTTGCAATCATGTGATTGCTTGTTGTAGAGCTGATAGGATTGACCCTGAAACATTGGTTCACAAGTGCTATAGCATAGAAAATTATCTAAAGGCATATGGGCACAACATCATGCCTATGAGGGACAGGAAAAGCTGGGAAAAGATGAATGGCATTCCCATCCACCCTCCAGTCTTCACAAAGAAAATGGGCAGGCCAACAAAGAATAGGAGAAAGACACCAGAAGAGAAGAAGAAGAAAGATGGAACTGTTTACATCAACAAAAAAGGAGTGGCCATGCATTGCTCAGTGTGTGGCAGTGCTGACCACAACAAGAGAGGACATGCCAAGTTTATGAGGCAACAGGAAGCTCAATTAGAAGATGATGATGAAGTAGAAGATCCTTCAATTCTGCAGGTTAAATCAGTGATTTCAGTTCAGTGTTTTTCTCTGAATTTGGACTTTGAACAGTGATTTCAGTTAACTGCATTTAAGTTCATTTATGTTACTAACATGAATTGTTTTCTGACTACAGGATACTATGCCAACAAGACTTGATCCTAGGCTTGATCCTATGAATGACAGAAGCAGTATGGTCTACACCATAGGCCAGGAGGTGCACCTTTAATATTACTGTCTTTCATTTTTAGTTAATTGTTTTTCTCTGAATTTGTATCTGCATTTCCTTTTCTTATTTTGTATCTTCCTGACATTTTGTGATCCTGCATAGGAAAGGGCATATGTGAGCACTTGGAATCCTCCTGGGCCACTTCCTGAAGAGTCTGCTTTTGTGGTGCAAGCTAGGGATTCTATCCCTCCCAGAAGAACCACAACCACAGCCACAACAAGTGTGAGGGGAAGAGGAAGAGGAAGGAAGAAAGCTGCAGCAGTACCACATCCAGATGAGCCAGGGTCAAGTGCAACTGGAGGAAGAGGAAGGAAGAAAGGAAAGACAGTGAGATCTGGCACTCCAGAGAGAAGAGGATCTTCTGGGAGTAGAGCAAGAGGCAGAGGAGTGGCTGGGAGAA